AAGCTTACAATGAATGACATTTATAATTAGCACATGAATCAGTGCGGGTTTCCGCTTCCAGCAAGCACTTTTGATAAGCTCCTGAACCAGTGGCTGCTGTGGTCCACACACAGTGAAGCCCATCATTCCCTCTTAGCCTGGGTGACCTCCTCCTCCATGTTTGCCCCCCATCCATTGCCTAGAACCTGCCACGGCCACCCTCTATCCACCTGCCCATCTCCTTCAGCTTGTTTCTGGTGGAATATCGCAGCTGGCACCCGGGTTCACAAATACCCTACTCACCTGCTCTCCTTGTGGGATCCAGGACAGGGAGGGGGTTCCCAGCATGGGACGGGCTTAGGACACCTCTGGGTGAAGAGGATGGGACCCTCGCCACCATGCTTCCACACGTGCCGGATCAACGCAGGGTCATTTTGCTCTCAGTTGGGCCAAGACTGTCATCTGCCATCTGCCACTCCAAGGACAGGAGCTCAAGGTCAATGGTTGGAGGGAGGAGGGGATTCTGAGAACTCCGTGAAGAATCAGGTGTAGTGGATGGGAGGGGCGCCCAAAGCCCCTGGCTGCTGCCTCCTGCAGGGAGGTCACAGAGCTGGGATAATGCGTGCTGGGGTTACCGTTCACCATCCTCCCTCCAAGCCCTGGCTGGCGGGGAGCAGCCCAGCCAGAGCACGGGTCCCTGACCCATCCTCCAGGCTGACCGTGGGACTGGCTCCCCTCAGTACCATGTAATCCCAAGGGACGTTGATGGGTCACATTGGGTTTTATGGAAGTTTTTGAAGAAGCTGCTGCCTCCTGCCTTGTCCCCCTGGCAGCATGGAAACAACATCACACTGAGACCCAGTAAAGAGTGGAGCACCAGGTCTGGCGTGGGAACTGTCTGACAGGAGAGAGCAGCCGGCCAGCCAGGACCCCCTACCCCTGGCTAGTGTGGCCTTCTGGGAAGCAAACCAGTGAATAGAAAAACATCTCTCTCTGTCTCTCCCATGCACATGCTGTAACTCTGCCTTTCAAATAAATGCAATAATTAAAAGAAAAAAAAAAAGAGCCGCCAGTGAATGGGTGTGGCTGCAGGTTAAGCTGCCACCTTGGTGTTGTATCCTGTAGTGCAGCACTTGCAAAAGAGTCCACCTCCACTATTTTTTCTTTCCTTTTTTAAAGGTTTATTTATTGGAGCTAATGTTGTGGCATAGCAATTAAAGGTACTCCCATCTGGAGCTCACCAGTGGACGGAAGGTCCAGTTCTCTCTCCTCTCTGTACCTAACTTATTTACAAGGAAGAGGGACAAAGAGGAAAGGGGACACAAAGACCTCTTCCATGCCCTGATTCATTCCCCAGACACTTGCCACAGCCACGGTGGGCCAGGCCCACATCAGGATGAGCAGCAGGAACTGAACCACTTAGGACACCACCCATCGCCCTTCCCATTGTGAATATTCACAAGAAGCTTGAATCCACAGTGGAGTTGGGATTGGACCCAGGAGCTTTGCTGTGGGGTACCAGCGCCCCCAGTGTGTCCTAACCACTGCCTGACGCCTGCCCAACAACTCACTTTTTTAAAAAAAGATTTGTTTATTTTTATTGCAAAGTCAGATATACAGAGAGGAGGAGAGACAGAGAGGAAGATCTTCCATCCGATGATTTACTCCCCAAGTGACCGCAATGGCCAGTGCTGCGCCGATCTGAAGCCTGGAGCCAGGAACCTCCTCCAGGTCTCCCATGCGGGTGTAGGGTCCCCAGGCTTTGGGCCGTCTTTGACTGCTTTCCCAGGCCACAGGCAGGGAGCTGGAACGGAAACGGGGCTGCCGGGATAGAACTGGCGCCCATATGGGATCTCGGGCGTGCAAGGCGAGGACTTTAGCTGCTAGGCCACCACCACGCTGGGCCCAATAAATCACCTTTTACAGGCAGACAGCCTGACTTGAGCATGCATGCATGCACACACATGCAGGTGCATGTTTGTGTGTAAGCCCATCCCTGTGGGTGTTCCTTCTAAATCTCTGCATGTGTTTCTTGTGTATATGTGGGTGTGGCATGCACGTATGTGCCAGATCTATGTATAGAGTCTTTTTCTTCAAGGGACGTCCCACATGCCTGGTGTGAGGCTGTGTGTGTGCCCTGCACTGCTGTGAGCCTATGGCTGTATTTGAACATGGGTCCAGGTGTGTGTGTGTACCAGGTGCCTGCAGGTGTATGTACCAGTGAGCCTCAGAACCCCAGTGTGCATGCGTGAGAGTGGGCACAACCCATGCATGTCTGTGTGTATCCAGGCATATTCTTTATGCACGGCACTCTGTGTAGAGCTGAGCAGTCCCCCTCCCTCTAAGGCCTCCTCAGCAGAATGAGTTCTGCCGAGGCTGTTTCTGCCGCTTCCGGCCCCTTCTCCAGATGTAGCAATTAAGCAAATACAGTAATTAAGCAAGAGTCCCCCAAACAGTTAGCCTACCAGACTCCCCTTCCAGGAGCTAATGAGGGGTTCCTGCAGCTGCAGACACATACAGTATGGTACAGGCACCCCCAGGAACCCATGGGCTGCACGTGCTGGGGCGAGCAAGCCCAGCTGACTTGCTCACCAACGGGACGAGACATCCCTTTGCCCAGCTTGGTCATTCAGATCTCAGCATAACAGCCAACTACTCCAGGAAGCCTCCCGGGCTGGGCACAAGCAAGAGAGACTGACCCGCTCTGTGTTTCTGAATCCACGCTTGTGCCTCTGCACTACCTGGAGCACATAGGCCCTTCAACCTGCCAGCCTGGCTGTGGCAGTCAGGTCCCTGTGCATTGTAGACATTCTTAGTTTAGCCTCATCATTCTGAGTATGGACCCCATGCCAGCAGCAGCACCATTGTATCTTGGGCTGGATACAATGGCCCAGTGCCTAAATCCTCGCCTTGTACATGCCAGGATCCCGTAAGGGAGATATATTGAGAGAGATAGAGAGAGAGATCGTCCATCCACTGACTCACTCCCCAGATGCTTTCACTGGACCGGGCAGGAGCCAGCAGTGCCACCTGGGTCTCTCAGGCGCATCAGCACTTGCCACTGGCAGGAGCTGGATCGGCAGCCAAGGAACCAGTACTTCAATCAGGTAATCTGAGCGCCTTAAAAAGACCTGTCTCTGTGAATCTGTTAAAAATGCAAATGTTTGGGGCTGACACTGTGGCACTAAAGATTAAGCTGTTACCTGAAACGCCAACATCCCCTATGGGCACCAGTTCCAGTCCCAGCTGCTCCACTTCCCATCTAGCTCCTGGCAGAGAATATGGGAATAAAATTGCAGGCTCTTGCCATCTGGGGAGTGAACCAGCAGGTGGAGGTGAACACACTGTCTCTTGTTTTTCAAATAAATATATAATTATTTTTAAATACACAAATGTCTGGGCCCCACCTTAGACCTCCTGAGTCAGGAACCCTGGGCTCAGGTCCGCAAAGCCACGCCATGAACCCCTTGGCCTCTCCAACTCTGACGTGATCTGGCTCTCCGGACAAAGTTATCATCTGAGGCTGGGTGGGGGAGACTTGGTGGGCAACACGTCTGTGAACCTGGCTGTGTTCCCCAAGTTCCCTCAAGTCCTACAGCAGAACTGAGCCGCCGCCCAGGGCTCCCCTCCGTGAGCTTCCTCTCTCATTGGTCCCACTCCTCCCTCTCCTGGGAGAGGAAGCCCTCACCCAGCTCCAGCACCCAGGAAGCCCTCACCCAGCTCCAGCACCCAGGAAGCCCTCACCCAGCTCCACAGCCTAGTGCAGAGTGGCTGGTCTCCCTAGAGCCAGGAACTCAACTCCTCAATGACAGGAAAGCCTGGCCCGAGGGCTGAACTAATTTTAGCCATGATTCCTTAGTCTTCCTAAGCAGTGCGGGGAGCCCAAGTCCACTGCCAGGTCACCTGACTGCACTCACAAGGGGGCTCCCCCCAGGGCCACCCAGTCTCCCCCATGCTCATGAGGGACCTCCTTTGGCCCTGGGCTCTCAGGAGGTCAGGTGACATTACCGAGTTCCCATGCGCCTGCATAGACTACCACCCACACACCCCTGCCTGGGACACCATCTGCCACCCTCTCCCAAGCTTGGGGCTAGGCAGACACTCCTGTCACCGGTCGGCCCCAGTTCCCAGTAGGGTCTCCTATGTGGACGTGGAGCTGAGCACGCAGGAGAGAACAGCAGACACATCTCTGCAACACAGCTAACCCCTGCCTCTGCCCATTTGCTGTCTTTCCCTCCTCCCAGGAGGGCTGGCCAGGGTATCTTTAGGGCTAGCCCTAAAACACTCAGAGGGCACAGGGTCACGGAGCCACGTTTCTCCCTGGCAGCCATTGGAAAGATGAGGCCTGCTACTGGGTGGAGCTGGGAAGCGGCATGGAGGAAGCTCCCGTCCCCAGGGAGGTGCTAGATGTGGGTGGAGGACGGGGGTAGAGGGAGCTGGGTCTGGGGGGCTCTAGGAGGTGGAGGCTATACTCGGGCTGAGTGGGCGCTGGACCCACAAGCACACCCCCGCCCCAGTGCATCCCCTCCCCTCCTGCTGCATTGGGAACCACACCTGCCTGTCGGTGCACCTGTCTGTGCCTCTGACTGCTTCCGCCTCTCTGGCCCCTGCCCCTCGACTCTCTCAGCGTCTCTAGTTTGCAGGGCCATGTGCCATTCTCTCTCTGCTTCCTGTCCACCTGAGTCAGCCGGTCTTTCAGCCTGTCTTCTCTCCCTCTGTCTGCTGTCTTCCAGGGCGACTGCTCGGGAGGTGGGGCCAGGGGCGCGCCTTCCCAGGGGCGGGGGCTGCCTACGCCTTTAAGCGCGGGCGCGCGCGGGGCCTGCGCCTTTAAGCGCGGATGCGCGCGCGGCCCTGGGTTCCCGGCGAGGAGGCCGCGGCAGCGCCCGGCCCCCGGCCCCGGCCCGCCTGCCCGGCCCCCGCCCGGCCCCAGCCCCGGCCCCGGCGGGGGAGGGGTCTCGCAGCGCGGCCCCTCCCCCCTGCAGCCCAGCCGGCGCCGCGAACCTCCAGCCCTGCGCTCCCCCGTCTGTCTGTCCGTCTGCGACCAGGCCTGGCCCCACCCTGGCCCTGGGGCTGCCCGGCCGCCCCCTACCCACTGCAGCCGACAGGCACCCCGCCACACCGCCTCTTTCCCGGAACATCTGCAGCCAGCCCCAACGCTGCCGTCGCAGACCAAGGACCTGCACCCCGACATTGAGGGGCCTGCACCCCTAGACTGAAACAAGCTTATCTAGAAATCGGAGCCTGGCACCCTCATCTGGAGATAGATTGCTGAGATCAGCAGTGGAACCCCAGGATCTGGAGCCTGGACCCCCCCAGTATCTGGGGCTGCCATCTCAACGCCCATCCCTAGGACCCCAAGGTTTGGAACCCAGACCTCAAGATGTGGCATCTCAAGATCTGGAACTGAACTCGGAAATCTGTGCCCGGGGCCTTGAAATCCCGGTCTGGATTTGTAAGTCTCCACCCAGGAACCCACTCTTTGGGTGACCTGAACCCCTGGAATTTAGAACCCTGAGCTTCCAGGGGGACCTGAATCTGAACGAGGCTCTGAGGTGCTTGCTTCGGGTCGGATGCTGAAATGTGGGGCTGCAGACTGCCCGCTCTTAACCCTGATCTCCCAACACAGAACCCCTGGACTGGATTCTTCGGACTCAGACACTGAATTTCCAGCACCGATACTTGGGAGACCCTGACCCCTCACAAGCCAGAGGGGAGCCTGGCTCTCTAATTCTGGCTCCCAGTGGTGTTTGGGGTACGCCTGGAACCCCCCACAACCTTCAAGGCTCAGGTATTTCACAGCCTCAAATTGGAACTGAGAGCCAACCAGCTGTCCCTCCACAGAGGCTGGGGAAGCAGGGAAGGCATGAATGGACAGCCCCTCCCGTGCCCTGACCTCTGGCCCGCACCCCTAGGAGCCTGAGGACTCTGCTCCGAGGGGTTCCCTCCAGCTCAGGTAAGACCACTGGGAGTCTGCTGTGGTCTGGGAGCGACTTGGGGGGAGCTTTGAGGCTGGAGGCGGAGGAGGAGGACCCGAGTCCCTTGGGCCCTTGTGGGTGTTGGTGGTGCTGAGGGGTGTAGGGGGGACAGACATTCCCTGAGGGTCTGCCCCAGAGCAGCCCTGCCCCCTCTCTGGCCCTATTGTCTACAGCGGGTGGCCTCTCTGGGTCCCTGGCTTCCCTCACTCCCTCTTCCAGCCGGCCACCCTAGGTCTGCCTGGCCAGCCCCAGCACTCTGCCTCTGACCATCCTCGTCCCGTGGTCGCTCAGGGCCACCTCTGTGTACATCTCGCTGCTCCAACACCCTGTCAGCAGCTCCTCTCTGGCCAGCGTGTGTCTCTGTCCAGGGTGCTTCTTTCTAAGCGCCCGCCCCAGCTCCCTGCCTCTGCCCACCGGCCCGGAGCTGCGTCTGTACCCAGCCCCACGCTTCTCAGACATCTCCGAGCACCACACTTCCCCCAGCCACCCTGCCCGACTCCTCTGCCTCATCCTGCCCAGCTGGCCTTTCCAGCGTCTTCCACCATCCCAATCCACAGCCACTTGTCCGCTTCTGGCCTTTCCTTCTCTCTCCCTCTCCTGTTCCTTGTCTGTTTTGTTTCCTGTGATGACTTGTCCCCCCAGTGCCCCATCCTGACCCGTTGTCCTGCTCTCTAGTGGCCTGGCTTATGTATACCTTTCTCCCTCTTTCTGACTACTTGGCCAGCTTTTGGTCACATCTGTCCACTGCTCCGGCTGACCACCTCTCATCCGCCTCCCTCTGGTCCTGCCCAACCTCTTCCCATTGCCCCTCCGGCCCTGGCCCCTCGCACTCCACACCTCTAAAGTACTCAGCTTTCTTCTGAGGCTTTGCCCAGGATTGGCCGCTCTGCTCTATCCCTCCGAGCATCTTGGGCCAACTCTGCTGCTCTCGGCTGAGCCCTAAGGGGGGGACCCTTCCTCCAGCGTTAACCTGCCCTAACGCCCCCCACCTTGCCTGCAGGCCTCCCCCGCCCGCGATGGCCGTCCTCCCGCTGCTCCTCTGCCTGCTGCCGCTGGCCCCTGCCTCATCTCCACCCCAGCCGGCCACCCCCAGCCCGTGTCCCCGTCGTTGCCGCTGCCAGACACAGTCGCTGCCCCTGAGTGTGCTGTGTCCAGGGGCGGGCCTCTTGTTCGTGCCCCCTTCGCTGGACCGCCGGGCAGCTGAACTGCGCCTGGCTGACAACTTCATTGCCGCTGTGCGCCGCCGCGACCTGGCCAACATGACGGGCCTGCTGCACTTGAGCCTGTCCCGGAACACCATCCGCCACGTGGCCGCCGGCGCCTTTGCCGACCTCCGCGCCCTCCGCGCCCTGCACCTCGACGGCAACCGGCTGACCTCGCTGGGCGAGGGCCAGTTGCGCGGCTTGGTCAACTTGCGCCACCTCATCCTCAGCAATAACCAGCTGGCAGCACTGGCGGCCGGGGCCCTGGATGACTGCGCCGAGACGCTCGAGGACCTGGACCTATCCTACAACAACCTGGAGCAGCTGCCCTGGGAAGCCCTGGGCCGCCTGGGCAACGTCAACACGCTGGGCCTCGACCACAACTTGCTGGCTTCCGTGCCCGCCGGTGCCTTCTCTCGCCTACACAAGCTGGCACGGCTGGACATGACCTCCAACCGCCTGACCACCATCCCGCCGGACCCTCTCTTCTCTCGCCTGCCGCTGCTCGCCAGGCCCCGGGGCTCACCGGCCTCTGCCTTGGTGCTGGCCTTCGGCGGGAACCCCCTGCACTGTAATTGCGAGCTGGTGTGGCTGCGGCGCCTGGCACGGGAGGACGACCTCGAGGCCTGCGCCTCACCCCCTGCCCTGGGAGGCCGCTACTTCTGGGCCGTGGGCGAGGAGGAGTTTGTGTGTGAGCCGCCCGTGGTGACCCATCGCTCACCGCCCTTGGCCGTGCCTGCGGGTCGACCTGCTGCCCTGCGCTGCCGGGCAGTGGGGGACCCGGAGCCCCGAGTGCGTTGGGTGTCACCCCAGGGCCGGCTGCTGGGTAACTCGAGCCGTGCTCGTGCCTTCCCTAACGGGACCCTGGAGCTGCTGGTCACCGAGCCGAGCGATGGCGGCATCTTCACCTGCATCGCGGCCAATGCAGCCGGTGAGGCCACGGCTGCCGTGGAGCTGACCGTGGGGCCTCCCCCACCCCCTCAGCTAGCCAACAGCACCAGCTGTGACCCCCCGCGGGACGGGGAGCCCGATGCCCTCACCCCGCCCTCCGCCGCCTCGGCCTCCGCTAAGGTAGCAGATACCGTGTCCCCTACTGACCGCGGCGTCCAGGTGACTGAGCACGGGGCCACGGCTGCCCTCGTCCAATGGCCCGATCAGCAGCCCATCCCCGGCATCCGAATGTACCAGATCCAGTACAACAGCTCAGCGGATGACATCTTAGTCTACAGGTGCAGGGGCTGGGCTTGGGGTGGGGGGAGGTACAGGGGAGGGTGGTGGGCAGGAGTCCACCTGCCAAGTCCCCAGGCTGAAGTCCAGCTGAAAAATGGCATGAGGCTCCAAAGGGAATCAGAGAGGAGAAGAAGAGAAGAAATCAGGCAGGAGGGAGCAAAGAAATGCTGCAAAGCGAAGAGGTAGCAAGCAGAAGTGGTGAGAGAAGTCAGTAGGCATGAAGAATAAGGCTGCGGGAGTAAATGGCCACAGGCGTGAAAAGCAAGTCAGGCAGAGTGAGGAGTGAATAAATGCCAGGAGAGGAAAGCCAGCTTCTGCCCATGAGGAGGCGCCAGCCAGGGCAGGCCGCAGGGCACACAGGAGGACAGCAGGACCACTGGGAAGTGAAGGAGGTAGCTGTGCCATGAGGAAGACTACCCAGAGGAGGGCAAGTGGAGACGGGGCCTGGGTTTGTGCCATGTGAGCTGCTTCCTGTCTTTGGAGTTCTCATGTGGTGACATTGGAATGCTTTCAAGTTTTCTTACAAGATTTTGTTTGTATTTATTTGAAAGAGTTACAGAGAGAGAGAGGGAAAGACACATACAGAGAGATAAATTGTCCCATCTGCTGGTTTACTCCCTAAATGGTCTCAATGACCAGGGCTGGGGGCAGGCAGATGCTGCTAGGAGCCAGGAGCTGCTGTGCTAGGAGCTGTGCTAGGAGCCAGGAGCTGCTTCTGGGTCTCCCATGTGGGTGCAGGAGCCAAGGGCACTTAGGCCTTCCTGCACTGCCTTCCTGGGCTCATTCACAAGGAGTTGGCTGGGAAGTAGAGCAAGTGGCACTCGAACCAGTGTCCATGTGGGATGCCAGCTTCTCAGGGAGGCTTAACTGCTATGCCACAATGTTGCTCCCTCAGTTTTTTAATTTTGTGAATCAAATTAATCGAGTTCCAATTGTCTGCTAGCTGAGATCTATCAAGTTCACCATTCTTGAGATAGGATTCTCTTCATCTTTTGCATTGCTGCCACATCCCTACAGGGAGTGGGACAGCTTCTGCCCCCACAGCCGAGGACACTGGGCCCCTCCAATGTGGTCACTGGTCAGGAGTAGTGGCCGCTGCTTCTGCTGCTGTGGCTTCAGCTCAACAAATTGCAGCTTAGCCCACACAGCTGTGGGTGATTTGACGCCCGCCCCCCCACCCCGCTGCCCCCCCACCCCGCTGCCCCCCTCCGACAGGCAGTCGTGGAGTTCCCCGAGCCTCCCTCATTTAGACAGTTTCGGAATCCACCAGATTATCAAACACAATCAATCTTCCACAGGATGCTCTACTCCAGCAAGAAAGAACTGTGGCAAGGATCGAGGGGGAACAGAAGGGCAGGGGGAGACGGGAACCAGGCCAAAGGGATGAACGGGAGCAGGCGGCAGAGCTGGCGTGAAATAGGGCAACGGGGAGAAGAAGAACTCAGCAGTGGAGAGCGAAGCCCATTCGTTTAATGAAAAGGGAGTCAGATGACGGGGCTCCCTGACAAACAGATGAGAGGCAGTCATCGCGGTATGGCTATGGGGCTAAGGGGAAATGTGTTGGCAGGTTTGGAGAAATTAAGCAACAAGACGGGGGAATCGGTGGGTGGGATGCGAGAGGATTGTGGCTGTACAGCGGAGGACAGGATGTTGGGCAGGGGCTGGCAGAGGGCCAGACAGGGGCGGGAATTGAGGGAAGGAGGCTGGGAGGTGGGATTGGAGGGAAAGTGGCTAAGGATGGGGCAAGGGGGGTAGAAATAAAAGGGGGAAAATTAGACCAAATGGGTAGGGAACTAGAGAGGGGCATGGCTGGCTACAAGGTGCTGGGGAATGGGGCAGACAGGTGGGTTGTGGGCACCAGAAAGACTGGTTAGTGTGGGGACTGGGCAGTGGCCCTCCTCTGGGGTATTGGGGTAATGGGCTAGAAGTGGGGTTCAGGTTTAAAGGGGAGTCAGACTGGAACATTTTGGGGAAGAAGTGGGAGGATGAGCTGGAGTGAAATTGGCTGAAGTACCAGACCAGAAAGAGTTGGGGTGCTGCTTCCAGCATTTGGCAGGCTGGAAGGAAATGAGGCAGCCAGCTGGAAGAGAACCCAGCTGGGGGGGGGGGGACACTGTGTATTGGGGGGTGGGCTCCGGCAGAGGTAGGGGAACAGCCAGAGTCCTGACCTGCCCTTGCTCGTCCCTGTAGGATGATCCCGGCGGACAGCCACTCCTTCCTGTTGACTGACCTGGCATCGGGCCGCACCTACGACCTGTGCGTGCTGGCCGTGTACGAGGACAGCGCTACAGGGCTGACGGCCACGCGGCCCGTGGGCTGCGCCCGCTTCTCTACCGAGCCAGCGCTGCGGCCGTGTGGCGCCCCCCACGCGCCCTTCCTGGGTGGTACCATGATCATCGCGCTGGGCGGCGTCATCGTGGCGTCGGTGCTGGTCTTCATCTTCGTGCTGCTTATGCGCTACAAGGTGCACGGTGGTCAGCCCCCAGGCAAGACCAAGGCGGCCGCGCCCGTCAGCAGTGTCTGCTCCCAGACCAATGGCGCCCTGAGCCCTGCGCCGTCCGCACCCGCCCCTGAGCCTGCCGCGCCCAGAGCCCACACCGTGGTCCAGCTGGACTGCGAGCCGTGGGGGCCCAGCCACGAACCTGCGGGGCCCTAGCCTAGGCGCTCACCTCTGCAACTCCCCTGGTCCCCAGGGATGGCCAGATGTGGACACCCCGCGGACACACTTTGCCTCAGACTCACCAAATTGATCATGGTTTTTAAAACTCTGAAGGGGAGGGTATGGGGGCACAGAGACACAACAAGAAAGTCCTATTTTTCTAAGTTTGGGCCTGGGCCCTTGCAGTTGTCTCTGTCTGTGGCTGTACAGGGGGACTGGGGAGGGCTGCCTTTGCAGAAGGATGTCCCTGGATGGGCTGCTGTGCCAGACAGTCTGGGTTCCCTGTTGGGGGTGGCCATGCGTGAAGATGGTTTTTGAGCATCCATGCTGGCCATGCTCTGTACTGGGCTGCCTTATGGTAGACAATGAATACTCAGAGTGACTGGGAAGGTGACAGTGAGGGAAATCTGGGGGACTGAGAGCCCAGAAGAGGTGTCCGACTCATCACAAGGAGTAATCAAGGAGGGCTTCCAGAAGGAGGAGATGTGTGCTCTAAAAGGCACAACTGAGCAGAGAGCAGAAGGAAAGCCAGGACTTAGTGTGTCCCAGGTCCTGGGGTGCTGCAGGAAACAGGAGGTAGAGTTTAGGAGGAGAGGAGCTCACACTCACTCCGGACTCAGAGTACCAGGGAGCCACGGAGGATTCTATGCCCAGGAGGTTCTGCACCAGGTTGGAGCTTTAGTGAGGAGGACGGATAGAGAGGGGGAGGGAGATGGATGCTGGGAGCTCAGGGCAGCCAAGGCGGGAGAACTGAGGGCAGGGGAAGAAGTTGGCCAGGCGCAGGGAGCAGGGAGTGGAGGGGAGGTGTGACGTTGAGGTTGGGCGGAGAAAGAATAGAGAGAGTGATGGAGAAGCTTCAAGGGCAGGTGGTAGAGCTGAAGGTCCACAGTGTGGGGGAGGTGGGGCTCAGAGCAAGGCCCAGGCCCCTGAGCAGGGGAGGCAGCTGGCAGGGCTGCGCCAAGCCAGGGACAGGGAGGGGGCAGGTCTGGGAAGGATGCCATAGCCAGTGCAGGGCTCAGAGAATGCCATCCTGGTCTAAGACCAGCACGAGGACAGAAAAGGGGGACATGGTCAGCAGAGGCGGAGACCTGAGGTCCCAGGTGGTTCTGCAAGGGGCATCAGTTTCCAGCCACTGGGTCTTTCTGTATTTGAAGGCAAGGCAGACCACAGCGAGGAGCAGGCTGCAGGGCCAGGGAGGAGCACAGCCAGTGTTGGCCAGGAGGACCCCAGCAAGCGGGGCCCGTGGGGGCAGGTGCCAGATTCAGCTGCTGAGAATGGCAGAGCTGAGAAAGTAGAGACAGAGAGACCTTACTATCCTGTGGGCTTGAAGCCTGGTACGGATCCATTTAGAACTTTCTACCCAGGCTGGTCCTTTGTCTACAGCCTAGGTGTTTCTCAGACATGAGGCTTGAGGCTTGCAGGAGCGCATCTTGGACCTGTGGAGCGCCAGACCTTACAGGGAGTGGCATGGGTGGGATGTAAAATCATGCCTCCACCCCAATCCTGCCCCTCTGGGAAGGGGGATTCTAAAGGGAGGAACATGGAAAGCTCTTGGGTCCTGTACACCTTCTGGAGCGATGCAGGTGCCAGCCACGTGGAGAGGGCCCAGGACTGGAGCGTTTGTCCTCACAGTCTAATACACACAACCCTGTCCTCAGGAAGTGACCAAGCTTAGGCAGGGCCTCATCTTTTGGAGGGGTACCAGGCCTTAGAAATGATAGTCCACCAACTGTGGGAGGCACTGGAGGCCCTGCCCACCTGCTCAGGTCCCCAGCAGCATAATGAAGTCCTTCCTGTTCTCTGTTACCCTTGGGTGGCCAAGGTCAAGTGAGGTTACCAGGGAGAGTGAGGCTATGAGAGGGGACAAGAGGCCCAAAGCAGGATGGGGGGGTGGGGGGAAGGCTGTGCCAACTGCAAATTACCAGTTGCTGCCATGAGGGGGAGCCAGAGCTCACTGTTCCTAAAATGCAACCCTTTGTACTGGACACCTACTGTGTTCCACAGGCTGGAGACAAGTGCAGGCCCCGGACCTATGCCACTCACTCTAGGCAGGAGGCTCTAACCCAGGAAAACTTCCCAGAGGAGGTGAGGCCTCAGCTGTGAGGTTAGAATTAAGTAGCTGAGGGAGTAGAAAGGGGGTTTGATGCATGTGGAACAGCATTGCTGAGGGGTCGGGGGTCGGGGGAGGGTGGAGGCTAATGGTGTAGGATCCTAAGGCTGCTGGGAAGAGTGTGACAGCACAGGCTGTGGGGAATGTGTGTGAGGAAGGGCAGGGCCGGGAGGGGGACACACAGCTGGTTAGAAGGAGGGACAGGGGCAGGCTGACCCCTCTAGCATGACACCCCGTGTTCCCCACTCACACCCCAACCTCAGGCACATGCAGGAACACCTGTGTCTGGGATTTAAAGTTAAACTGGAGCTTGCTTGGCATGGCTCTTCTGCCCTCTGGGAGGGTGCCGAGCTCAAGGTTCCTGCAGCCTGGACCCTACCCCGTCTGTACCTGGCCAGGGCCAACCTGTGTGGCTGGGTGTGGCCATGGAAGCCTGGCAATGCCCATGGTGCCCTGCGAGGCCTCAGCTACTGCAGCTGTTCCTGTGGGCGAGTAGGTATGTATATGCATGCACTCATGTGTGTGGGGGATCAGGTGAAGCCCAGAGAGGCTGTGGGCCTCCTCGGACCTCGCGTGAGCATGGAGGTGCATCAGAGACTTGGGCATAACAAAGCTGGGGCCCCCAGCCCACCCCTCTTTGACTGCCAGTGTGGTAAATGAAGATTGACACCCAGCGATGGTATCCCAGAGTGGTAAGGGAGGCAGCTAGGGGCCCAGGGCTCAGAGCAGCCGGGGATGGGGCGCTGGGAGAGGCCCAGTGGGGTTTCCGAAAGGCCTGCCCAGTCACAGCGCGTCCAGGCTGCAAGCAGCAGCCCCCCAACCTCCATGAGTTTGGAGCGGGTTGGGAGGGCTCACATTTGCATTTCCCTCTGGGGACTGACAATGAGGCAGCTGGGCTCTCCAGCAACACAGAAACCCCACAGGGCGAGAGCCAGGGGCAGGGGTTTGTTCTGGGGCAGAGGGTCATGTGCACCGAGACTGAGTTGTGTGCAGTAACAGTGGGAGCAAGAGGAGCACAGTGTTGGGTGCAAGAGCTTGGTGTCGTGTGCAACAGGAGCTCGGTGTCATGTGCAACAAGAGCTGGGGAGCCCAAAAACATGTGGGAGAAGGGACGTGGGGCCATGGCCAGACACCAGGTGGGGGCTTGGAAGCCTGTGAGAGAGGACACTCCACACACCAGGACGCCAGCTGAAGCTTGGACCCGAGAGGCCCAGGGAGGTCACACAGGGGAGTCCCCAAGGGTTTCCTTGTCACCGGACCACACCGGGAGACACACTGGTGGAGGCAGATGCACGACTAACACATTTTCAGTATAAAATATGAGACTACCAAGAACTGGATTCTGGGAACATTTTGGAACCACAGGGCACACTACGCCGCTCCAGCCTCCACCTGAAGCAGCAGCCCCTTGAACTTCCCTGTTCCGCTCCCCCCCACACACACACCTGTGTCCACCTTTGCCCCAAAGGCTGCCGGGAAGTACCAGTCACCCCCACACCCAGAGGCCCCCGCTTCCTGCTTCTGGGCCTCTCCTTACTTCCTTTCTGATGAGAATCGTACACAGGTGGCACAGGGAGCTGTTGCCAGAAAGCTGGTTCCTTCTGGAATTCTCCCCTTGTCCTCTGCACCCGAGGCTGGACTGCCAAGCAGCCTGATCCTGGGACCTTTCCTGCTTTTGGGAGCTTCAGCCTTGTCCTCCACATAGGGTGGGAGTACCTTTGTTCTCCAGGTGGGACAGGAGGGGAGGACGGGGTTGGTGGGGGCAGGTGTCTCCCTTGGGAGAATTTTCTGCACAATCTCTATCGGCCTCAGCTTCCAGGCGCATAGCCGCTCTCTCCCAGCTGACTCCCAAGCCTGGAAGTTCATGTCCCTTCTCTCCTCTTCCTCCCAACACACAAGCCCAAGCCCCCAAGCCCTTCCTCATGCAGATGCTCAGGCCCCCAAAGACTCAGGCACCTGCCCCCTCACCTGGGGTGCTCTGTAGGACACCCTGGCTCAGAATGCAGATGCTCAGGCCCCCAAAGGCTCAGGCACCTGCCCCCTCACCTGGGGTGCTCTGTAGGAGACCCTGGCTCAGCAACCTCCTGTTCTGTCACAGACATGTACACCCCTCAGCGCCTCACCTCCCTCCCACTCAAAGGGCTCCCTCTGACGGAATCCCCTCCTTACCCTGTCTGTTTCACCTCCCAACGCACACACCTCTTTCCCCATCCCTGCGGCATCCTTTTCCTCTCTTTGTTCAGTCGCATCTCTGTCTCCTCCCCAATCAGTCCCTCTGGCCTGCTTCTCCTTCTGCGGTTTCTCCCCATCCCCCACAATTGGTCCTCAGTGGTCCCAATCAGACTGGGGCAAGGATAGACCCAGAGAAGATGCTGAGGGCCACAGGCCAGCGCCAGGGAGGGGCAGAGACAGCCTGAGGCCTGAACTTTCCCCTGAAGAGCCCCCTCCTCTTCGGTCCTGCCATGAGAGAGGGGAGCCCTGCCTCTCTTCCCACCTCTCCCCAGCTCCAGGCCACCTGCCAGTGCTGGGTTCTGCTGGCCTTCCCTCCATCTCCCCAGGGCCCTGGGAAGAGGGTGCTGGCTGCCCCCCACCCCTTTGGATAGGTGAGACAGGTGTGATGTCAGGGCTAAGGTGCCTTGCCTGAGCCAGCAAGTGACAGCGTCTGCCTAAGAATCCAAGGCACTCCTGGGAATTCACCCATGAGCCGCACTCCCGCTCTCAGCGGCTCCTCCGGGTGCAGCTGCGTTTGTGGGTTTCTAGGGCAGCCACTTGATCACAGCTTTCTTAGAAGTCGTGGGCGCTTGAGAAGCCCAACTTCCGGCTGTGTGTGAGCTTGTGTCGCCGCCGCCCGGGTAGGGCTAGTGACAGCGCCCCCTGGGACCCGTGGCTGGTCAGGCGCGCCATGAGTGGGAGTGACGGTGAGGAACGCGGGTGGGCGCCTTGCCGCACCTGCCGCAGCCACTGCCGCGCCGCCTTACTGGGCGCCGGCTGCGACCACCAGGGGACCCGCACAGGAGGCTGGCTGCGGGACCGGCAGTGCGCCCACCCACC